CTTCTTTTAATAATAATTTTCATTTTTATTTCATTTGGGATTATTAAGCAAAATTAAAATTAAATTATAACGATACTATATTTTTTATTGACTATTTTTGTTTTATATTTAGAGGAAAATAAAACTCTTATCAAAACGATTCGAATCTGTAAAAATAATCAGTTAAACCCTGGAAACTTGACACTTTCTGAGAGCGTCATCATTTCCACGACTAACAGTGCTGGTAAGACCGTATTTGTATCCGTCTTGAGATGAGTATTCGACAACTAACTAATTGACTTCTAAGTAGAGTCAATGATTTCAGAAACTATCTATTGTTTTTAAGGGATTATTACCATAAGACAGGTATACACAATGACCTAACATCATTTTTAAAATTTTGAAATCTTTCACATATTCATAGATTACTTAATTCACATATTTAGTAAATATGTAATTATTGATACAATTCAAATAAAATTAGTTCACCCTTGTCCAAAACTATGCTACCTCCTAAATATTAATTTATGTTCAAAGCAGCAGGCACAACTGGATGTATATTTACAAGCAAGTTACTCGTTCTGCCGTCACTTTCAATTATTCATTGCTTATTTTTCAATTACTCACTACATCTTTTTTCCTTTGTATTATTCAGTTCTTCTTGGAATCATACAATGGATTCTCAAATAACTGTAGTGAACAGGAAAACGATGTAGAAGTTATTAAACTGACGATGACAGACTTTTAAGCAAATCATTTTTATGTCTTTAATAACGCTTTATTGTCTGCCGAAAGCTTATTCTTTGTGCAGAATTAACTCTAGAATTATTGTCATATACCATTTATTTAATCCCTTATTTTATATTTTAATGTTCGATTCGCCCAAACGTCTTCATCATAGATAAATATTGAAATAATGTGCTTTTTTAAGTTACACATGTTTCCGTCATGTTCCTCCTTTGAAAGTTGTCGGAGATACGCAGATGTTAACAAAGACCGCTGTAACAAACGTGGCAGATGAGATTGAAACTGAGTTATTGAAAATTAAATATGTTAGTGACAACGGAATATGTGTGGAAAGAAGGTGATGAAATCAATTAATTGAAAATCAGTTTGCCAATTGATATTTAAAATTTCTTCGTTCGACATTTAGAAAGGAAGAAAAGATCGGCGCGGAGATAGAGCCACTTCAGAATTTGTCGAAATGTGGATCCAAACGCATATATCTGTACCTATTTTCTCAATAAATATCGTCATCTCCCATTCTACACGACCACATATTTTAGAAAATGCCATACACTCACATGTTGTCTGCCGCAAATACATCCCAAACTCTTTTATCCAGCAAAACTTTCAGAAAAATCATATCTGGGTTCCTCTCAATTCTTCGTTTCTAGCCCAAATTAAGTCGGGGATGTGACATCATATTATTTCTATTGGATAGCTCACTTTCTCTAGATCACTTCGTCTTCCAAACTACCATTTAACGAAATTGGAAATGGTAGAGGTTTAATTCTACAGACTACTTTCCATCCGAATAGAAAAACCAAAATGAAGAAAAATTAAAATGGGGCGACTGTCGGAATCTTAAACATCTTGTCAAACAATTTTCATAAACAGTGCACTCTTCATTCATTTTAATCGCTGCATTGCCTTCAAATGAAAATTGTCTTGTGATCATGTTCTCCATGTGATCCATTAATAATTCGAGAATGTGTCATTTTAAACCTGCTTTGAATCGAAAACAGAATTTGGAATTACGGCAAAATGACCGAAAAAATCAATATATATTCCATAAGCATTAACTTGCGAATAAATTAATTCGAGCATTTGCTAATAATATTGATGATATTGTTGCATAGTTTGACAAGATAGTGGTTATGATTGACACGAATTGCAAGTAGTTCGCTTTCTAAAAGGTTTGTGAATATAGGACAAGCAATCGTTTTAACATGACATGCATTTGGCGTTAATAATAATAGTAGTGACGACTAGATTGTGACCAGATTCAGAATCGTAGATTTTTGACGTTGTGTGGGTTCCGTGATGTCGCTTGAAAGCAGAAGTAGGCCAGGGATTGTTCTAGTTTCACTGTAGGGAGTATATGCACCAGAATCCTCTCTGTGGTGAAAATAAGTTCTTCGTGGCTGCTATTAAGCTGTGTTTATGTTCAATTTCTGTTTGTCTGCATTCGTATCTACATATATTAGTGCACGCTGAAAGCTTAGTCATAAGCGAAATGGGGAATTGGTTTAAACAAATGGAGGCTTCTGATTGGCCACTGGTTTTGGTGTTATCTGCATATGGAGTCGCACGACCGAGCCTCTCAGTATTAGGGTGCATGTGTGCGATGACGTGTCCCACAATCTCAAAGCACTAGAAAAGCGCTTTGGAACGTCCATTTCTAATAATTTCAACTAGTCACAGCTTACAAGTTGTAGCCAGTAAATTAAAAAGAGTATAAAACGACACCTTGGAATTCCAAATGCCAAACCAACACTAAGCATTGATGATTTGGCACTGTGGAGCAAGCGTTTAAGGAGTATTCGATCGGATCCAGATCAACCCACTCTGTGTTGATGATTGAAGTAGCGCCTTATTCGTCTTTACAGCTTGTTTCGCTGCTTCTGCGACACGTTTCCACGTCTTCTTTCCACAATTTTTCCTTCGGTTCAATGGATCAATATATATATATTGCTTTGTATAAATACTATATTAGCCTTTTAGGGGCCTGAGGTAGTCATCGACTTCGTGAAGTTGGTTTCGGAATGTCGTGGAAGGATGTTCTGAAACTGACTTACGCTCGGCTACGGTGTACGCCTTTGATACAAAACGTTTCTCCGTTTTTTAATATATTTGGGTCGAGGTGCACGATAGACCTACCTCCACGTGGTGCACCCTGGACAACGTGTCTTCATACGGCAAAAAAGTCGATTTATTATGATAAGCATGAAACAAAGCTATAAGAGAAATCTCCCTCTTCAGGGCGACTCAAAACGTCTACAGATTCTTCAGTGGAAAGCTGGAGGGATGTCACAGGACAAAACGATTCAAGTCCAGAAAATCCTATAAGCCTATAATGCAGAAATTTTCACAATTATGGAAGCAAATCTTTCGGATGACAAACTGAATTACTACCAATTTTCAAGTTGCACCTTATAGCTTCTACCTAAATACCGGCAAGTTACAAGTGGAATTCTGACTGGAGTTAAAGAAGGCCTCACCTCACACTACGACCTAATCAAGAGTATGGGCTCGACACAGATATGTGAAATAATCAGATTAAATGTTTGGAAATATCAAAACTCTTCAAGATATATGCAGTCTATAATCCTCCCGAATTGTAAACTTATTCTGAACATCTTACACAAAACTATAGTATTAGGAGACTTCTCTGAACATCTCACACAAAACTGTAGTATTAGAAGACTTCCAACGCCCACTCCACCAGATGGGGCTACAAGGATAACATTGTTGGAAAGGAAATAACATGCTAAACAGCAACACTCTGGAACTTATTTATAGCAAAAGGATCCGGCGAACAGGGATCCCGCTACATATTTGCACTACAATGGAACCAGAACAGCTAAACAGCAACACTCTGACACTCTGGAACTTATTTATAGGAATGAGGATTGCTGCATATTGCATTGCAATGGATCCAGAACAACTCCTGATTTACTCTTGGCTCAAACAACATCAGTACGCATATTAGCCGCAAAATAATTGACGATCCTGGTTCTGGTCACACGACGCACCGCACAATAATTGACGATCCTGGTTCTGGTCACAAACCAGTCATTCTACCATCGACAGTAAAAGCATGACAAGGAAAGTGCCAACTCAGCTATCATGGAACTTCAAGAAGGCTGACTGGTCTAGATTCACAAACATTTTAGACAATGAACTTCACACAAGTCCCCTCAACTTCAACCAACATCCTGACAAACTTTGCACTGATATCACGAATATTATGATCAGATGTGTAAAGAAAAATATTCCTCTTAGCAAGACTAAACACAATCAAGTGTTTTGGTCTGAACACTTGAGGATCTGAAAAGAATACGGGACGCCATTTGCAACACTGTTGACCTGACTGGAAAAACGAAAGACGTACAAGCATGGAGACGCCAGTCAGCTGTCCTAAGGCAAGCCATCTTAAAAATTAAACGGACTTCCTTCGACAACTTCATCTCGAATATCAACTGCCAAAGTGATAGCCAACGCACTTTCAAATTTCTGAGAAACCTCCAAAACAACAGAGAAAGACCCAAGAAAGAACCAATACGCTTTAAAACACACAAAAAAGAACCAATACGCTTAAACAGCAAATTGCTTACCTAACGAAATAGCTAACTGCTTTGCGAGGTTCTATTCCCATAACAAATACGTTTAAAAAACAAACTGCTTACCACCGACTCCGAATTTAAACAGCAAATTGCTTACCACCGACACCGAAATAGCTAACGCCTTTGCGAGGAAAATAGCTAACTACTTTGCGAGGTTCTATTCCCACAAGCAGTAGCTAACTGCTTTGCGAGGTTCTATTCCCACAAGCAAAATTAACTGCTTTGCGAAGTTCTATTCCCACAAGCAAAAGAAACCTTTGCGAGATTCTATTCCCACAAGCAAAAGAAAAACCCTACGAGGTTCTATTCCCACAAGCAAAAGAAAAACCCTTTTGTTGACTCTTCAAGAGATATAAAGAAACAAGTAAGACAGTTTGGCACAAGCAAAAGAAAAACCCTTTTGTCAGAAAATCTTCAAGAGATTTGCTTCTTGTAAGACAGTTTTGTGAAATTAAGGAAGACGCAACACCAAAAGTTTGGTGAAATTAAGGAAGACGCAACACCAAATGATGTGGGTGAAATAAAGGAAGACATAGCAACATCAAATAATGTAATTACTGAAACATTCAGACGTTGCAAACTTAATGCTGCGATAAAACAGCTCAAATGCAAAAAACTTAATGCTGCGATAAAACAGCTCAAATGCAAAAAGTCTCCTGACAAAGACGGTATTCATCTGAAATTTCTAGTTAGCATGGGACCAAAAGCCAAGGAAACCATTCTGACGCTTTTCAACAAAATCTGGGAGACCAGTCTCGTACCGATGGAAAATTGCCATAGTAATACCAGTACCAAAAAAGGGCGTTGCCTTAGTAACACAAGTGCTAAAAAAAAGCAAAGACCCTAACAACTTTGACAATTATAGGCCTATCTCCCTCACAAGCGTGCT